TTCAACCGGAATTTTGGTTTATCTAATTGTTGGTAGTGATTCCTAAATGGCAGTCAGTGAGCCATCGAATTCGTTCTTCATGTTTCCTAACCACTAAATTTCCTAGAGCCTATTCCTAAATTTCCTAGTTTCCTAGCCACTGATTTCCTAAACTACTAAATTCCTAGCTACAAATTTTTCCTCTTAATTCATCTTTGCATTCTTCTTCCTCCATCTTTCTGTTCCAGTTTTTTATAAAGTTATTGTTCCCTATGCACCTAGGAAATATCAAGTATTTGCCTTATACACAGGCGAAGAACACGCATTACATATGTGATACACAAACATATCAAAAATTATGGACAACCATCTCCATATGAGTATTACCAGAGCTTGTTCAAACAGAGTTTCAGACCTCTACAATACACTCTCGCCACTGCCAGAGGTAGTGGATTCACGACCTGCCATGGTAACGTGACATTTTGTCATTTGCAGTGAGTAGTTGCCATAACATAGTCAAGAGTGCTTTGGCAAACTTCAACACTTTTTAGCAAATGCTGGAGTTAAGAGCTGATATTTTGGTGTTTCGCAAGGCATTACAAACAATAATATCCTGAGACATCAAAATATGAGTTGATTATCGCTCTTGATCCATATAAGCAGTAAACTTGCTGATATATCACGCAGTCGTGGCTTGTTTAAATGCTCTCTCGGCATTTTGGAGCAGGGGTCGATTATCTGTGCTGAACAACTCCTTCCGTTAAACGGAATTCGTTCATTTATATACCCTGAAGTACAAATCCATTTTTTTTGTTTCATATACCGTACCATCACGTTTTGTACTGTATGTACAAGATGCCTTCTGCAAATGAAATTAGGTGCGGCGCATCTAGGTAAAGTAGGGGCTAAATCACTATGAAGTTTTCACTTGATGAATGAGTCTCAAGGAATCTAATAGCAGAGGAGCTGTGGCCTAACGCTCAAAAATCGACTTCAAGAAGCTGTGTGCTAACTGATACATTAACCCTGTGTATCGCATATTTGCATTTTGCCGGGTTTCAATTTGTTTTATGGTTTATCCCATATTCAATTTGTTCTCTTTGTGGATACCCTAAAAGCGCAAGTTGACGGTCCAACAATCTCCTCTGTTCTCAGCTCTCTGCCTCTTCTGCTGACCAAGTAATTTGCCCATCGCATCGTCCCAGCGTGTTCTTAGACCAGCGGACGTCTTAACACTATGGTGCATATAAATAATGTATATAAGTCATTTATAACTCTCAGATATGTGAAAAATAAAATATCGATTAACATTATTATACAGTAATTTTGGGTACTTCAGTACTGATATATGATTCGCACGTAATTTATTAAATTCAGTATATACAAACTGCATACTTGATAGTTTACATACACACATAGAGTACTTTGACCTCAGTAAAACAATGACTCTGCCTCAAAGAACAATAAATGCAATTTATCGATTCTTTTAATTGTTTCAACGAGCTTGTTTATCAACCCGGCTTTAAATGAGATGACGATCAGGGTGTCAATGGCAGCAAACGAAGACTGTTGAAATCGACCATTTGAAGTTAAAAAGCAAGTTACGAGTAAGAAATAGCCCAGGTCCGTTAAAAGCAACCTCAGAACCAACGTGGGCAACGACCCAGTGTTGTCAGTCCATCAGTCAGTTAGTCACCTCCGATGACTACTTATCCTTTTGGGTTGCAGAGACAGACATGTCCGAGGGTTCTACAAACGTTTCCGAACCTGTCACAGCGTTCGATTTTCGGTGGAAGATGACCCAAGCCTGGAGCAGAGTTCTTCGATACACTTGTTCCAGGTTATTCTTGGCCGAACTCAGGTTCTTCGACAGGTCGATTTCGCTACTGTAGCTGTTTCACCATCCATTCGAAGAAATTCTGAAAGCATTCGCAAGAATTGCCCAAGCCATCGCACCTGTGACTTCTCGGTCAGCATCGAGAAGAAACACGACTTAAATACAGAGCGTTCAGTGTTCAGACTCTGTCATGCTTTATTCATAACGGCTTGAACAAGTTCGCCGAGAAAGTCTCAGGGAATTCCAATTCGTCGGTCGATCTCTTCCTCAAATTTTCCATCACCAACAAACACGACTTCGAGGTACTTAATCTTCTCCACCTGCTGTACTGCTTCTCAGGGAGAGCAATGTGCAGGAGAACGAGGAAGCACTAGGCGTTTCGTTTTAGACACGCTCATACGCATGTCAGCCACGGCGCAGTCATATAAGAACCTTAACAGAGAACGCGGGACATACTTTCTGAAGATGTCAACAAAACAATG